AATCCTCTTACCCAGCCAAACTGGTTCAGGTAACTGCAAAATTCAGGCTTGATCTAGGACTCAAAAAGTGTCATGAGGACCTGATTATCTCTTGTCTCTTGGACCCATTTCTTTGGTGATGGCTTCAAAGAGATGTTCATTCTTCATGGTGCTAAGATGGCTGCAATGGCTCCAGCTTCCCCCTTTAACTTCAAACCTAGTGGGAAGAGTGGATATACTTTTCCAAGAAGATTCCAGTTAATACCCCAGAATTCAGTCTTGATGGCTTGGGTTACTTAACTCCAAGCGTGTGCCTGTTTCAGAACCAGCCACTGTCTCTGTTGGGGAACAACATTCTGATCTGCCAGGATGCTATCAGGCCATGTGCTATTCCTGAAGTGAAGAGTTATGTATATGTTGGGTCTCCAAACCCAAACTGGGATTTCAGGAAGCAGGGAGAATGGATCCTGGAGAGGAAAGTAAATGTCCATCAGGATTTCTTACAGGTTTGCATAGCACTTTCTCTTTTTGATAATTATATATTTATGTATGTTACTTAAAAAAAGTTGCTTCCCTATAGCACTGCATACTCATCTTGAGAGGGACCATTCGTATCTTTCCCCCTGCCTCACTGTTCTATGCCCAAGGGCCAACACAGTTCTTGGCACAAAGCAGATGCTCAATTAATATTTGTTCAGTAACTGTTACCCTCACCCCCCAGAAAGCACCAAACAAAAAAACAATCAGTAGAATATAAAACAGTACATATGCTAGGATTCCCATTTTTGTTTTAAAAACTAAATTTCACTCTTGTCCTCTATGCCTGTAAAATACAAATCTAAAAGGAAATACACCAGCTATAACAGTGGTTATTTCTTTTTAAAAAAACTAATTAATTAATATATTTTACATTTGACTGTGCTGGGTCTTCGTTGTTGCTCAAGGGCTTTCTCTAGTTGCAATGAGCAGTGGCTATTCTCTAGTTGTGAATTTCTCATTGTAGTGGCTTTCCTTGTTGGAGAGCACGAGCTCTAGGGTGTGCAGACTTCAGTAGTTGTGGTGAGCAGGCTTAGTTTCCCTGCTGCAGGTGGGATCTTCCTGGACCAGGGATCGAACCCATGTCCCCTGCATTAGCAGGCGTATTCTTAACCACTGAACCACCAGGGAAGTTCCAACAGTGTTTATTTCTTGATGGTAAGATTAGGAATGAGGCTTTAAAATAACCCTCTCCTGTATTTTCCAAACCTACACTGAACCTATATTATTTTTTAACTGAAAATGTTTTGAAAATATTCTTAAGAGATACATTGCATAAGGTTATTTTCTTTGGAATAAAACAGTCCAGTTTTGAAAAGAAAAGTTTTCTAAAAACATAAGGCCTCAGACCACAAGTTTCGCCATGACGAGGTGAATTCCTAGACACTTCAGAGGGGATTACTGGGGATGTTGATGCCTTAAGACACTAATAGGAACACACTGAAGGACAGTGGGGCTTTAGTAAAATGCATGCTGCCATGGAGGAATTGCACAGGCTGGCTTTGAAGCTGGCTGCTTCTTTGTTCCTTTTATATTGTAAAACTTGCATCTTGACTTTTCTCAATTTCCAGACAGTCGGTATTCTGGTTTATGGACTATCAGTGTTTTACTTCACTATCATGTCCCTGATTTGTAACTCCACCCTCTTCCCCTTCTGTGGACCTCGTGGTGGCTTTAGTATTCTCTGTTCTTTCTGTTAACGTGCAGTTATAGAGTCATCTGAGAAGTGAAACTCACAATTCGAGTTGACCTAATACCAGGGCTTTGTGCACAGAATTACACGAATCAGCTCACAGACGACCTGATCTGAATCATGTGTCATGTACCATGCTTCCTGGCTTCTGCTTATGACAGCGGATTTAGAATCAAAGGCACTTTCAGGACCATCTCCCCGGTAGAGCATCTTGATTTCCAGGGCCTCTGGGTACTCCCTGGGGTTGGCCTTCTTAATAATAGTGGACCTGCTGTGGAGGTCAAGAGGGAGCAAAGATGGGCTAGGGAAATCAAGACTCAAAAACGCATGCTATTCCACTAAGACCCATGGGTGTTCTGGATAAACATTGTTTCTTCCCCACTGTGTGTCCCGTGTGGCTCTACCAGGTGTGAGGCTTCAGTGGGAATCAACTTGAACCTCAGTGCCTCGATGCAAGGCTCAGTTCTGCCTCTGATTAGTTGTCTGTGCTTGCTTTGGTCTCAATGCCTCTGCGATTCAGGCTCTCATCTGTACAGTGGGCAAAGAACTCCTTCTTTTGGAGGCTGTTTGAGGGCCAGATAAGACCACTTATGTAAAGTGCCCAGCCCCAAGAGTGATTTAGGGTGTGATGTGGGAATCTGGAGGGAAGAACATTAGTGAGCAACAGCCCAGGAGAGCATCCTCTGCCCCTCTCAGCAAGGTCATGTGGGAAGACAAAGGATGCTCTTATTCTCAAACCAAAGCTTTCCTAGTCTGGGCCACAAAATAAGCGAATTTTCTTCTGCTTTTATCTTTTACTTAACTGTCATGACAAAAGCTTCAAGATTTCTTTAACTTTAAGTCTCACCTTCAGCATTCCCATCTCTTTCCAATGGCAACATCTTTAAAGCAGAAGATTCGCAGAATGGTCAAGGTAAATGGGACAGGGGTGAGCCCTGAAGTCAGATAGCAAGCAGGAGAGACAAAGTTTAGACTGAAGCCCAAAATTCCCAAGATAGGAAGAAAATGAACTTTGGGGGTAGAATTTGCTTAGAAAACAGCTCTTCTAAATTTACAGTAAATTGCAGATCCTCTGTCAGAAGGCAAACTCATCCCATAGCCCGGGTTTTAATTATTTCTTAAATAATCCTATTCTAGAGTACTCTGGGCAGATGCCACCACACCAGGGATGGAAGCCATCAGGACAAGGAGGCAGTGAGCATGTTGAGAATTTCCAGGTTTGAAACTGCAGTTGTCTTGGGGGCTTTAGTACACGAGTTGCCTTAAGGTAGGAAAGACCCATTGCCTCTTGCCCACCTTTTGAGTTCCTGTCACTTAACTCCAGTCACAGAGGTTTTCTTTGAGATCTTTGAGAAGGACAATCCTTTTTTTTTTTTTTCTTTTTTTTAGCGCACTGACATCTCATCACCATATCTCATGTCACCTCCCCGGGGGAAGCCGTCCCAGGTGCCCCAGCTAAATAACTGTAGCTTCCCCTGTTCCTGTCCCAGCAACCTGTACTCATTGTCTTGGTAATGTTCTCACCTGCTTACTCATTACTTTGTAATGATTTATTTACTTGTTTATTATTTGTTGAGCCAAAAGAGGTTATAAGCTTCTGAAGAAAGTGTCTTGCTGGTTCCCAGCCGGATCCCCCGTGCTCCTTGTGTAGGGCTCTGATTAATGTGGCTTCAACAATGCACGGAGGTGGCTTGATGTTTTTCAGTTGCTAAACCACGTCCAACTCTTTGCAACCCCACGGACTGCAGCGCATCCGGCTTCCCTGTCCTTCACTATCTCCTGGAGTTTGCTCAAACTCATGTCCACTGAGACAGTGATGCCATCCAACCATCTAATCTTCCGTTGCCCCTTCTCTTCCTGCCCTGAATCTCTCCCAGCATCAGGGTCTTTTCCAATTACTTGGCTCTTCACATCAGATGGCTAAAGTATTGGAGCTTCAGCTTCAGCATGAGTTCTTCATGAATATTCAGAGTTAATTTCCTTTAGGGTAGACTGTTTGATCTCCTGCAGTCCAAGGGAGTCTCAAGACTCTTCTCCAGCACCGCAGTTTGAAAGCATCAATTCTTCAGCGCTCAGCCTTCTTTAAGATCCAACTCTCATATTCCTCTATGGCTGCTGGAAAAATCATAGGTTTGACTATGGGACCTTTGTCGGCAAGGCAATGTCTGTGCTTTTTAATACGATGTCTAGGTTTGTCATAGCTTTTCTTCCAAGGAGCAAGCACATGGGGGATATGCAGCTTATATCTCCAGGTCACCTGGGCTGGATCACACCGTACTAGGCAGATCGGAGGATTTTCACCAGTTTTGACTTCCAGAAACCACTCAGGCAAAGGTTCTTAACCTTTTCAAGGTCACAGATCTCCTTAGGTATTTGGTAAAACCAACCGACTCAACCAAAGAACATAAAAATGCACTCAAAAACACTACTTACAATTTAGGGTTTGGAGACTCCTGACGCCCCAGGTGGAAACTCCAGGCTTAAGAAAAACCAGGGGGAGAAGAAAGATCAGGAAGTCCACGCCAGAGTCTTAGGAGAGAGTTCTTAAAATCGGGTCTGCTTAAAGTGTCCTATAGTTCTTGGATTTTATACACACACACACGAAAAAACAAACAAACAAACAAACAAACAAAAAAAAAAACTCGGCGGCAAGAGATCGCTTCTGGTTCCCGCTCGACCAAATGCTCCCTCCCTTACGTGGTTCAGGAGAAGACAACCAGTGACACTTCCCGCCACAAGTGTCTGGGGAAATCTCTTAGCTAGGTCTGATCAACGTTTGCGGAATGAATGAAATCACATTCACGGCGCGGGTGAATCAAGAAAGTAGTTCCTTCCGCGCTCCCCGCCCAGGGCTCCTCAGTGCGGAACCCCCATAGCTCTTGGTGCTCCGCGCACCGCACATCAGGCCGGATGCCGAGGTCTGCGCGCAGGTGTATTAGCACCTAGGGCCGCCCGCGCGGCGCCGGGCGGGGCGGGGCGGAGCCATCTGAGGCGGGGCGGAGCCATCTGAGGCGGGGCGGGGCCATCTGAGGCGGGGCGGGGCGGGCGGAGGGAGGAGAAAGAAGGGAGTCGGGAAGCGGGGAGGAGAGGGGAGGAGAAAGGAGGGTGAGAAGGGATGAGAAAAGGGGAAGAGCGGGAGGAGGGAGAGGAGGAGGGGAAGGTGGGAGGTGAGGCGGGGAGGAAGTGCGGTAGCGAGGGAGCGGGAGGAGCGGGAGCGGAGGGAGGGCAGCGGCGCGGGGCGGAGTCTGCAAACTTTCGCTTCGAGGGCATTGTGGGAAGCAGCCATGGTCTGATGCAGGCTCCTCACCTGTCAGCCGCGCCGGCTCCAGCGCTCGCGTCTCGCCCTCGCGTCCCCCGCCCTCGTTCCTCGCCGGCCGGGGACGGCGGCGGCCCGGTCACCATGGTGAGTGCGGGAGAGCTGGGCGGCGGCGCGGACCCCGGCGGGTGTGTGCGGGCGCCCTCCCCGAGCACCTGCCGCGCCGGGCCGGGCGCGCGGCCGGTAGGGGAGCAGCCCCGTAGCGCCCCGCGGTCCCCCACCCTGCCATCCCGACCCCGGCCCGGGACACCAGGACGCCAGCTCGGGTCCCTCGCGGCCACCGAGCGCCGCTGCTTCATTCATTCGACCGTTTTTGCTGGGCGCTCAGTCTGTGCCAGGCGCGGTGCCGGGCGGCGGAGACGTGGGGACCCGGTGGAGCCCTGGCTGTTGGAGGCTTATCTTCTAGGAGGAGGATGAGGAAGGAGGGAGATGAGTAATAGACCAGTAAAATCGAGATAACTTCCGAGAGTAAGTGCTCTGAAGTCTCAAGTACAACCGGATGCAAGGATGGAGAGGCAGGTATAAAAGAGGGGCAGGAAGCGAAGGCCTCCCTGAGGAGGTGACATCTGAGCTGTTGGAAGTCCTAGGGGGGCAATGCAGGTGTTGGGAGCAGAGAGAGCAAAGGCCAGAGAGGAGGAACCCTTGCTTCTACTGGGACAGGTAGGCAGGTGCCAGATAAGACATCCTCATAAGCCCAGTTAAGGAGTTTGGATTTTATTCCAATCGAGTGGAGGGGGACCAGTCTGCAGTGATCCAGGTGAGAGATCCTGGTTGCTGTTGATGGAAGCAGTAGCTTCAAGCGCCTCTCGTTCTTGCCTTCTGTTCAGGGTAGTTTTTTTTTTTTTTTTTTTTTTCTTTTGAGCGTGCAGTGCCCTGAACAGCACTGAGTTCCACTTCCCCAGGTGAGCTCACTTCCCAAATCAAAGGAGGAACAAAATTGGCCCGCACTCTGGACTTGAGTACCCCCTGCAGGCGGAGCAGGAAGGCGCCAAGGGGTTACAAAAGTTGATGGACAAGGAGGGCATCGGAGTGCTGAGCTCCTGGTCCAGAAGATCACAGATGGTGGTTTCTAGGTTTCACTGCATAGACTGGAGGCGCCATTGTTGTTTGTTGAGGGTTCCTTGTAAATACAGCATGGTGTAAAAAGGAACCTGTAAATAATGGAGCAACTCTCCTGGCTTGCTCAGGTTTCCCAAGGAACACAGTGACATATGTGCAGCACACTGCATCATTTGCCTCACGAAGAATGGAGTGAGGCCCTGGAGTCTGTGAGTTGCAAAAATCTTTCATCCAGAAAGCTGGTATAAGTTCTGGACAACACTTGCAGTGGAGTTGTATTTTTTCTTGCTGGTGTCAATGATGAGTTGATAAAAAATGTGCAGTTTCCTTATTTTTTCATCAGACCTTGCCCAATGGGAGATATTGATGTTTTTGAGTGCTTGTGATAACCAAGCAGGATGCTTCATGATCTCAGTTAGTTCTTGCAACAAGCAACCAAATGAAAGTATTATGCTCTTTGCATTTCACCTGCTCTGGCCTGTCCCAGCAACATGTCCTTGGATCCTGCCTTGACCTCTCTGTGCCAGTTTGCTCATTTATAAAGTGGAGATAGTAATTGATCCTAACTCATAAGGCAGTGGTTCTCAAAGTTTGGTCTGGGTACACTTAGGAGTCTCCAAGGTTTTTTAGAAGTCCAGAAGGCCAAAACTCTTTTCATAATAGCACAAAGGTATTATTTGCCCTTTACATGTTCATTCCTACATGAGTGTACATTGTGTTTTCTCAAGGTCAACCTGACCTGGGAGAGTGTAGTAGAGTGAATGCAAAAGCAGTAGGCCGGTCCAGCTGTCTTCTATTGAGCCAGACTTTAAGGAAATTTGCCAAAATGTAAAACAATGCCATTCTTCTCATTTATTTTTCCTTTGGAAAATATTGTTACTGTTCATTAAAGAGTTTCTGTTAATGTGTAACAGGTTGACTATAGTTTTTAAGTGAATAAGTATCTAAATTTTTTCTGTACTTAAATTCACAATACAGTAAACATCAATACAACTTACATAAACAAAAAGTCTTTGGGGCTGAATTTTTTAAAATATATATACATGTTTTGCTTTCTTGTTTTATTTAATTAATACCTTATTTTTATTATTTGGGGCTGAGTTTTTAAGAGTGAAAAGAGTCCCAGACAGGTTCTGTGCATGAATGCAAGTGAAAGCTGGTAGACCAGCTTTGCCCATTGTAAGTGCTCAGTGACTGTCACTTCCTATCTTTAATTACTGTCACTTGGCAGAGAAGCATAAGTGGCCCTCCCCAGTGCCTAGCATCTCTAGGCTTTTTTGTGAGGGTTGCTTTGTGACTCCCTGTTTTAATTCTGCTTCGTTCCTGACTCTTGCTGCTATTTCTGACTCTTGCTGCTAGGAAACTGGAAGATGCCCACAGCATCCTGCTGGTACCTACACACACAAAATGGTCCTTGGTTCCATGGGGCCAGTGATCTACATTTCAAGGGCAGAAATCTCATACACTTTGCATCTAGGGGCAGTGCTTATAGCTGGATAGTTCTGTTTGCATCAGCTTTGTACTTTTGCACGCTGCCTTTGTTTTAGAAATCTCTACCTTGGGAAATAAAGCTAGGGTTATTGTGTTTTCAGAGATCCCCACTGGCTGTGAGCCCAGTGCACTTAAACACTTAACTGGGGAGAATTTACTATTGCATGGTTGCCAGTGTTGATGGAAGAAGGAGGATTTTAAAACTGCTCCTTTATGTGTTTGTTTTCCCTTGGACAGAGGAGCCTGGTGGGCTACAGTCCATGGAGTCACAAAGAGTTGGACATAACGTAGACCACTACCATCACCAAGCAGATATCAGTGAGGATTTACAGGGTAAAGTTTGAAAGGCTTTGGGAACACCCTTAATAAAAATGCATGTGGACTTTGTTTTATGTAGTCATCATGCTTCTGAAAAGTTGGTGACTTTTAACATCACTTTGTGAACAAAACTGGGAAATTACCCATTGAAAGAATCTGAAATGGTGACCCTTTTTGAAACATCAGTAAGCACCTTCTTGTGTTGCAAGTCCAATTCTCATAATATATGTTATTTATCTGAAGTAAAATAGACTTATGTTACAAAAAAGTCAAGGAGTTTTTGATGTGATTTTGCATTTGACTTGAGAGAGACCTTCCCAAACTGAACTGTAAAGGTATTCCTTTATCAGAATTCATGTTTGCATCAGTGTAAGTCCTTTCTATTCCTAAATAGGGTAATTCCAAGCTTCCTTGTGCATCACAATCTTGTTGTATTACAGAATGAGAAGGAGTTGCCAAGAGAAAGGGTGGAGATATCTAACTCTGAACCTGGAGACCCTGCTGTGAGTCCCCCTCCCCACCAGATGTGTCATTTTTATTGTCTCAGGTTTAAATATATTGTAATTAGCATGATTGCAGCCATGAAATTAAAAGACGCTTGCTCCTTGGAAGGAAAGTTATGACCAACCTAGACAGCACATTAAAAAGCAGAGACATTACTTTGCCAACAAAGGTCCATCTAGTCAAGTCTATGGTTTTTCCAGTAGTTATGTATGGATGTGAGAGTTGGACTGTAAAGAAAGCTGAGCGCTGAAAAATTGATACTTTTGAACTGTGGTGTTGGAGAAGACGCTTGAGAGTCCCTTCGACTGCAAGGACATCCAACCAGTGCATCCTAAAGGAGATCAGTCCTGGGTGTTCTTTGGAAGGACTGATATTGAAGCTGAAACTCCAATACTTTGGCCTCCTGATGCAAAGAACTCACTCATTTGAAAAGACCCTGATGCTGGGAAAGATTGAGGGCAGGAAGAGAAGGGGATGACAGAGGATGAGATGGTTGGATGGCATCACCGACTCAATGGACATGGGTTTGGGTGGACTCTGGGAGTTGATGGTGGACAGGGAGGCCTGGCATGCTGCGGTTCCTGGGGTTGCAAAGAGTCAGACACGACTGAGTGACTGAACTGAACTGAATTAGAATGTATTGTTCTTTTGGTTGGTGGTACATATATACAATGGAATATTACTCAGCCACTAAAGGGAATGAAATTATGTCATTTGTAGAGATGTGAATGGACCTGGAGTCTGTCATACAGAGTGAAGTTAAGTCAGAAGGAGAAAAACAAATATCATATATTAACACATATATGTGGAATCCAGAAAAATGGTACAGATGAACCTATTTGCAGGGCAGGAATAGATAGATACACAGACAGATGTAGAAAATGAATATGTGAACACAGAAGGTGGGAGGGTGAGATGAATTGAGAGAATGAGATTGACAGATATGCACAACCATGTGTAAAACAGATAGCTGGTGGGAAACTGATGTGTAGCTCAGGATGCTCAACGAGGTGCTGAGCAATGATCTAGAGGGTGGGATGGGGGTGGGGAAGTGAGATGGAGGGGATATATGTATGCATAAAGCTGATTCACTTTGTCGTACAGCAGAAACTAATGCAACATTGGAAAGTGAAACTGAAAGTTGCTCAGTTGTGTCCGACTTTTTGCAACCCCATGGCATATACATTCCATGGAATTCTCCAGGCCAGAATACTGGAGTGGGTAGCCTTTCCCTTCTCCAGGAGATCTTCCCAACTCAGGGATTGAACCAAGGTCTCTCGCATTGCAGGCAGATTCTTTACCAGCTGAGCCACAAGGGAAGCCCAAGAATACTGGAGTGGGTAGCCTATCCCTTCTCCAGGGGATCTTCCCAACCCAGAAATTGAACCAGGGTCTCCTGCATTGCAGGCGGATTCTTTACCAACTGACTGATGAGGATGCCATAGTTTTACAACACTGTAAAGCAACTATCAGTTCAGTTCAGTTGCTCAGTTGTATCCTACTCTTTGTGACCCTGTGGACTGCAGCACACCAGGCTTCCCTGTCCATCACCAACTCTCAGAGCTTTCTCAAACTCATGTACATTGAGCTGGTGATGCCATCCAACCATCTCATCCTCTGTCATCCTCTTCTCCTCCTACCTTCAATCCTTCCCAGCATCAGGGTCTTTATCAATGAGTCAGTTCTTCGCAGCAGGTGGCCAAAGTATTGGAGTT